GTGCAAGCACATGGCCTTTTGTTTGGGCCATGTGCTTGTGTTGTCTCGTTACTTAACCCCGCCCCCTTGTTCTCCTCGTTAGCCATTATTGTTTCATCTGTGTCACCTGCTGTCATCATCAGTTTCTCCCATTTAATCCCCTTGTGTTTGCTGTCCTGTGCCGGTTCATTAACTTACCTTTATCATTCCTTGTGAGTAGGGGTGACCCCGAATAGTCGAAGATTCGATGCTTCGATAGGAGGAGCCTGATTCGACTACCAATCTCACGGTCGAATCTTCGCAGATGTGTTATTAAACGAGGATTATGTCATTTTGGCTATATGAGTGTGCTCAATGTCTGATTTCACATAGAACTACTGGTTTTCTGTCAATACGTTAATATACAGCCTATTATGATAATGCTGTCAATAAAAATGTGCAAAGAAAGAAGCTTTTAATAAATGTTTTTTAACGTGCGTGCAGCGTGAATAACTCCAAACACCCCGTGACAGATTTAAGTTTCACTTTCGATCCGTGACCGACAGAGGAGCGTCTTGTCGGCAGGGATTTAAATCTTTAAAAATGTCTGGGATAAGAAAATCTAAAGATGCACACCATCAGAAAGGATATTCTCCAAGGCTGGATTTAGCATCAGGAAAACCATGATCGCACTTCTGCCGGCCAACGTTAACAGGTTGGTTTTCCTCGGGACGTTCTAAAACGCTTAACGTGAAAAAAGCTTTTAAAACGCTTAAATGGCACTTTTACGTGCTTAATGTATGTACACAGTAGGCTACACACCTTAAGAAACCATTCTATGTGCAGATAAGCAGATGAACCCAGAATATGAACGCAACGCAACTCAAGTCACGTAAAGCTTTTTCTTTAACCGTTTTCTATGGGAGGAAAATGCTTAACGTAGCCTATAATAAAACGCGTTGCGTTCATATTCTGGGCTCATCTGCTTTTCTGTAGGCTATATAGTATGCTTTATTAATAAGGTGTGTACAGAATTTGATCTTTTAATATAACAGTTTTAGGACAAAGCCGTTAAGCGTTTTTCACATTAAGCGTTTTAGAATGTATTTTATCCGCGCACACAATTTGAAAAGACTCAAACGGACACAGGCCGAGTGAAAGACTGGATTTTGTTTTTTCGATCAGGTATGGGTACAAGGGATTTCAAAACATTTCAGCCGGTTCTAATTTGATTTTTGGATACTGTGAACACGTTTAGCTAAAAAGACTGCCGCTCCAGCTTAGCGTTTATTGTTGTTTCTGCAGTTAAAAAGACAAAGTTGACAATCCTGGCCATAGTTTCGTTATGTTAATAATTTATTTATTTTTATTTTATTAATTGATCACTCAGGGTGATCTAATTTAACTAGCCTATTTGTGACTTGTGTTTTGAATATTTGTTCCCCTGCACTTTAGGCATTTTGCACACATTTGTTCTGCTTCTTGTGACTTGATTCTGACTTATTTCGTTTTGTATTTTTATTTATTATAAATGTATATTGTGTTCTTAATTCTTGATTATTTTTCAGTGCATCGATGTTGCGCTGTAGGCCTAGAGCATGCTCGTACAGGCAATTCAGCCGATTTAGCAAATCCTATCTGCAGTGTGGCCTTTCTGCAGTTATTTATGTAATTTCTTAGTTTTATTGATCCAAAATGTTTTTATACATTTTCTTCTATATCTTTGTGTGATGTTCTGTAGATCGCGGCTTTAAAATGTTAAAGCCCCGCCCCCTCCCCAACACCACACACATGATTCGACTATTAGTCGACTATAGGCAGGACTTGACGAATCTGATTCGACTATGAAAATCCTTAGTCGGGGACACCCCTACTTGTGAGTATCCTGTCAAGTGTATAGAGAAAGTTCTGATTCCGTATTTGCTGTTTGTTTATCATCTAGTCTTAGTCTAGTTTAGTCACTCGTTGTCCTTTCCATGTTTTGCCCCCTCGTGGGTTTTGTTTTCCCTAGTTGTGTCCTTTAATAAACTGTGTGTCAAGCATCCTGTCTGCGCTTGGGTTCATCTCTGTAATTCATAACAGATCCAGCCTGAATCATAATCACACAGTGTTTGTCCGCTGGCCAGAGGAGAACTGAGCCCTCAGATGGGTTCTCCCAAAAGTTTCTTTCTCCAGTCTATCACCTGATGGAGTTTGGGTTCCTCTGGCTTGGGGAAACTTAATAGTCAACAACATTATTGATCTGACTGCACTGACGCTGTTGTATGAGAACTGAACTGAGCTGGACGATGACATCATGTTTTGCAGAACTGTTTTATAGATGAAATGAACTCATTTAATAATTGACGATCTTTACAATGGAACTGAATCAACACTGAACTGACTTCACCAACAAAAACAATAGACTACTAAATTACAAATAAAATTACTAAATTAAGAAAATGACTACAGTAAATTAAAAATAAAACATTAATGAGTGTAAATAATCACTTCTCGTATGAATCTTTGAATACAGTAGTGGCCAAAAGTGATGTCTGGCCTAGGAAAATTGACACGTGAAAATTGTGCTTCAGATATAATTTTTGGCTGTCATACAAATAAATTATGAACACATGCAAAAACAAGAGAGAACCAATTAAATAATAATAACGGATTATGTTGTAGTCAGTTTATGCTTTTTCCTGTCGGCTTTAAAAAAGAAATATTACTTTGCATAGTAAAATAAAACCTGAAGCGGTTTGCCTTTTTTTGCCAAATAATTTTGTCAGTTAAATACTTCATATTTTTATGGCTGAATCGAACTTGTAGCCACTACAGTAATGTGGTTTTGTAATTTTTGAGCTTGAAAACACCAGTATTTATTCACTTTATTATATAAAAAGGGGTGGCCAGGATATTCATCTTTTGTGTTACACAGCATAAATTAATATGGGTGTGAAAATCATGAGGATGAGTAAATAATGACAGACCTGCCATTTGTGTGTTAACTTAATATGACAAATATTCTTGTACAATAAAAAGAACAATTCATCTTAATATTATATAGTATATTTTCCAGAGCGTTCTAAACAGCTTGCCACAGTCAGATTTGAGAAACGATTAACGCCGCTGCCAGGGTCGGATGGTTTTTCAGAGCAACTGCATCACTTCTGATCAGTGAGCGTGAATACCAGCCGTTTTCTCCATTAAGAAATAATCTTTTATATCACTTGCCCTTTTGAGAGACACTTTCTTTTGAGATAACCATAACTCACTTCTCTCTCTCTCTCTCTCTCTCTCTCTCTCTCTCTCTCTCTCTCTCCTAAAAAAGGTTCTTCTCATAAATACAACAATGCTGATTACTCGGACAATAACACAATCAGCCAGCAATGAAGAGGCGCTGTGTTATATAAGAGACATATCAACATCATCAGACAGATTTAGCTTTTACTTCAGGGAGCGCTATTCCAGAAGACTCATCATTATTGCCGCTATTAGACGCCTCTTATCTCCTGTTAGCGCCACCTCGGCAGTGCAGAGCTAAAACATATCGTTTATGACCCGGGCTGATTCCATCACTAACTGCTATTTGATGGCAACGAGTGGCTGCGAGTGAACACACTTGTATGATTGAGTTGAACTGGAAATGCACTGAAGAGTGAGACTGAAGCTGTAATGGTGTTCCCGGATTGGACAGCGGAGAGTGCATTATGAGCCGTTCATAATGAATCAACAATGCCTTTTAAATTCCTTATGAATAAAATATGAGGTTGAATGACATTTCATTTCTCAGTACGAATTACCCATAGAAATGTGGGCTATTTAAAACAGCAACAACAAAAGTAATAGAATATGTATTATTATAATTGTGATTATAATTATGTGAATTGAAATATTCAAAAATTAGTAACATTTTATAGGTTGCTTTTTAAACAATTAATGTTTATAGGTTGCATCAAACATTTATTTACATTAAATCTATTGTACATTTATTTATATAATTAATGTTTTAGCATTTTATATATAAAATACTAAAACATTCATATACATAGAAATAAAAAATAATGCATTATAAATAAGTGCAACCTTAAAAATGTTACGTATTTTGATCAGACACCATGATCAGAACACCTGTTCTTTGTGTTTTGTTGTTGTGCGACTTTCATATTTCCTTTCATTCCAATTCAACTTCCTGTTGTTTGTGGTTAAAGGTGCACTATGTAACTTTTGGCGCTCTAGCGGTTAAACTGCATGCATTTTGCAGAAGAACATTGTTTTGATTGTGCTCCGGCTCTGCGTGACTGTGCGGAAGAATACCCTGGAAAGGATCTCAAGCTGACTAGCTGAAGACGTTACTTTACCCATTAATGGACACGGTACTTCCTTGAAAATAAATTAGCTACAACAATAGGTTTTATGAATTAAGCCTTCATAATAGATGATGCTCTCTTAGAAAGCTTCATATGGAAATGTATCTTTTCAATAAAATACCTTTTACCTCAACGTCGCTTTTACAACATTTCAAATCCCTCAGTTCTCGTCATCTCCGAAAAGCCAAGCAATGTTGATTCTTGTTTTATTACGAGCTCTATCGCATTCTCTTTTTGTCAGCAGACTCCCACCTCTCACTCTTCAGCGTTTGCCAGTTTCGCGTGAAAAGCATCCCGCTCGGTCTAAAATATTAACACTTATATAACATCCTTACCATAGTGAATCAGGGTAAGACAAAAACACGTTTTGAAAGAAGGACTGATAGTGTATTGACTCATTATTAACATTTTGTTAATTTTGAACAAAAAAAGTTGCAAAGTCCAACTTTAATTTAGTTCAAATCCAAAACTCATGAACTGAAACAAATCTAATGTTGATAATCTGAATGTATCCCAGTGATCAACATGATTTGTGTGTTTGGGATTTGCCAAAGGAAGCTGTTCCCAAAGCAGTGGGATTGTTATGTGCATCGAGTGGCACAACAAGAAATCACAATCATGATTGATAAAGAGATAGAATGAACAACAGCAAACAAACATCCATAAACAGAGGAGGCGGGGCTTAAGACTCACCTGCCACTGAGTTAGGGCGGGGCATGAGGTAGAGTGGGGTGGGGTGAGAGGAATAGTGGGCGGAGCCTGGCTCAGGGATCTTGTTGAGGCTGTAGGTGGAGGCGGCCATGTTCTCGTCCACTCGGTACAGGCTGGAGTCCAGTGTGGATCTGTGTGAGTGCCAGAGCTTCAGGCTGCTGCCTCGAGAGCCATCGCCGTGTTTCCCGCTCCTGTCCACCGGCTCTGAGTAACTGGTCAGGGTGGCTGGGAAAAGAGGCAGGGTGAATAAGAGGAGCTGTCAAGATTTGTGCTTTTTACAGTTCACATGTTTTTTTGTGTAAAGTTGTGACAAGAAAATCCTGTTAGAAAGGATAATTTCCCTGGAGGAGCTGGATTTGAATATACTGTATGAAAAGTGATTGCAGCAATTAAGCTCTTGCAGAACCGCTCAGTTTCGCAAGCATCATTTGGTTTGACTTTCATTGCATTATCTTAAGATATGTGTGGAAAAACACAGAGCTTTAGAGCCTCAAAAATATTGGTAACATTTCATTAAGGTTACATTAGTTATCTACAATACTTCACATGAACTAACAATAATAAATATTTCTAACGCATTTATTAATCTTAGTTAATGTTAATTTCAACATTTTACTAATACATTAATAAAGTGTCCCATTATGCCATTTTACAAGCTGGTTTACAAGCATCCAAGGTCAAAAAACACTTACATTTTCTCATAATATACATTGTACATCATCTCTTTTGCCACAGAGTCTGAAAACGGTTCGTTCAAAGATTCAGTCACTCTAAAACCCTCCTCACTGCTCTGATTGGTCAGACAGCTCGGTCTGTTGTGATTGGTCGACCTCTTACAGCGCATGTGACATGTCAGAAATAAAACGCCCATCACCATATCTGAATTTTAGCTCTTCCTCTGCACTTGATGCACAGTGATATGAATGATGGCGTCAGTTTTTCCATATCATTTCCAGCGTGAGGAATTGCTCTTCCAGTCTCAGCTATAAGTATAGCCTTCGAGGGCGGGTCAAAGTTAGACGTCAATCACAGGCAGCCAATGAAGAGCTTAGACTGGCATTATGCAAATTTGTTACATTGTTACGTAGGTATGTAACAGGAAGTGAGACTGGAATTGCTGACGACTCACTTTAAAATCAAATGTTGTATCTGTTAATATTATTAAACGGACCTGAGCAAACAAAGTGTTACCAAAAAATCTTTAAAGCTGAAGTGTGTCGGTTTTGCACCACTAATAGCTGCAAGTGGAATTGCATGTTTGTTTCAGAGTTGTTATTGTGGGTTTTTTAAGAAGACAAGTGTATTATCTGAGCACTTGTAGTGCACTACACCTCATGGCATTTTTCAGTTTGAACACACTAATTCATAGTTTTCAGTCGTGCGACAGGTGCAGAGACCTGGAGGGCTTGTCAGGTTCACATCTGTTTCAAGCATGAATATTTAGATCACATCTCAAAAGAAGAAAAATTTGATGAAGTTTTGGACACTTGCGATCCACAAATACAGCCTTCGCCACACTTAAACAGCAGAATATATTAAAACACTTGATGTGAAAAATGTATAAACATGGCTAAATGCATTAAGACAGTGATATTAGAAGATCAAATTCAGTATACACTAGGGGTGAGGGAAAAATATTGCAATATTTTGCAAGGGGATATTGTTTCGATGGGTGTCAAGTATCAATCTTTTCAGTGCCTGAATTCCAGCGATTGCGAGAATTGTGCATGATTTTACCATAAGCTCCACGCTTGTATTGTGGGAAACAATAATAATAATTTGAAAGAATGTAATTTCACAAACAGCGTGCGTAAATCGGTTCTGCATCTCTCTCTCTCTTTCTCATCTATAATGTTGCAAAATATCCTATTTCAAATACAAATATATATAAAAAAGTTATAAACAATGTTTTTTTTATCACAGTTTCCAAAACTGTTTTCAACATTGATAATAATATTCTTGATCATCAAATCATCATATTAGAATGATTTCTGAAGGATCATGTGACACTGAAGACTGGAGAAATGATGCTGAAAATTCAGCTTTGATTTGATTTGTAAGGGATTAATAATGGATAATGTTTTATGCTCTACTGTTTTTTTTTATGATGTCCTGTCCTGTACTGTCACTGAAAACCAATAAAAAGATTTGTAGTGAAAACAGTAAACAGTCTTACCGATAATGCCGCTGTCTCTGCTCTCCAGGGTGGATGAGGGGCTGGTGACGGGCTGTCCCGGAGCTGAAGGGAGAGTGGAGCAGGGACTGCAGGCCGGAGGAGAGGCGGTGCTGCTGGTCAGGGTGGAACACGGACTCATCCTCCCGCTGGCTCCTAAACCCTGCACACACAACCAGTGTTGGGACTCACTCATTACATTAGAGCAGTGTTTCTCAATCCTGCTCCTGACCCCCAAAACTGCACGTTTTCTTTGTCTCCGTAATCAAACACACCTGATTCAACTCATCAGCTCATTATCAATCGTTATCAATGCGTTTGATTAGGGAGACAAAAAAAAAGTGCAGTGTTGGGGGTCCTTCAGGAGCAGGATTGGGAAACACTGCATTAGAGTTACGTAATCAGATTACTTTTCAAGTAACTAGTAAAGTAACACATTACTTTTTCAATTCACAACAAAATATCTTTACAAAATACTTTATAAATTAAAGTTACCTTTTCAAATAAGTGACGCTAGTTACTTTTCCACATTTATTAACTGACAGCTCTCCTGTCCCCATGTTGAGAGAAATAAAGTGAGGAGGTGTTGTGTGTGTGTGCGCTGTGTAAACATGATGCTTATTTTAGTTCTAGACTAAGGCCGGAGACACACTGGCTGCGTGGCGTGTCCGTTTTTATTTCGGCTCCCATGTTAACAGGTTAGAGCTTGCACACTGCCTGCGTGACACGCGCGCGGAAAACGCGTGCATGCTAGAAATAGAACCGACGCCTATTTTTCACGCGACACGCAAGCGTGTTGGAAGCGTTTGCAGGCAAAATAGTATAGGAAAAGATGTTTATATGTCATTTTGTGCACGAATACATATTAATAAATTACATTTTGATGTTTGAAAATCTAGGTTTTGACATAAATTCAGATATAAATGTCTTTTTTTTTTAATCCCATTATTTTTGCCTATATAATTTCATGTCATTTTATTTTTTAAACAGTCGAGTCCTGGTGTCCACTACAGAGGTCATAGCATATGAATAAAATATAGCCTATATATATTTTAATTTGTTTCTAATGCTCTTAACAATGTGATTACATGAAAAAAAATCAAAAAAATTCTTTGAAAAAAACTTTCTGGGCCTCAGGAGGATATAAAGTTGGATAGGCTACAATAACATCGTAGTGTGTCTTCTGAGTGACGGTCCAACATCAGGTAGGCTAAATATAGGCTCTTTAAAGCTACACAAAATTTGTAAATGTTATTGAAATAAACAGACAGCCGCATGTTTCCCTATTTTTCGGATTTTGGAAGATGCGTGATAAAAGTTGAAATTGTTGTCGTAAAGGCAAGAGCAACAGTAATCCAAATGTAGACTGGTCTGTCGGCGCCCTCCCTCTATGTCACATATAGCGAATATGTATTCGTGTACGCCACGCAGCGCCGCGTCAGACACGCTTCTGGTGTGCAAAGACACAGAAAACGCGACGCAGCCGCCATGCAGCTGACACGCAACAGAAACGCCACGCTCACGCCACGCAGCCAGTGTGTCTCCGGCCTAAATGTGAACATGCATTTACTCATCTCACTTGCACGAAAACATTCAGTATTCCTCAAAATGAATAAAAAAAAGTATCTCCGAATTTTACGCAAAACTTTTATAGTTAACTATATTAAATGACACAAATATACTTTATGTATTTAATCTCACTTTATTATTTACTGCTGACCTTCAATGATCTAATTCAACCATACTAATAAGCAAAAATTAGAATTAAGAGTGTTGAACTTCTCCTGTATCCTCTTGTTCTTTAATCCAGAATGTCAGCACAGCTGCGGTTAGTTTGAGCGGCGCTCTCTACTCTAAACACGTAAATATGCATTTCCTTCAGCCAGAGGCTTATTCATTTCACTTTTGGTCACGTTTTCCAAAAATATGACTTTTTTTGTTGTTATTAAAAAACAAACAAGCCCAGCCCAGGTGAGAAAAAGTAACACTAAAGCAATGTAACGCAATTAGGTAGTTTTTGGGGGAGTAACGCTATATTGTAATGCATTACTCCAGAAAGTAACTTTCCCCAACACTGCACATAACCTTTGCTCTGTGTCGGTTCGGGTTAGGTGGGCACTGAGGACCCGGGCAGGGCATAATGAAGCATGGCACGGATAATCTGCCCACTCCCAACATTAACATCAAACGTCACAACAGGCAAAGCACCTCGTCTTAAAACCCTCACAACTACTTAAGGTCAGAGAGACAGTCCTCACACACACTCTCTCTTTCTCTGAGGTTATTCAACACTATATTTCTGATCCTGTTGTTTAAACCATTCCTGTGGTGAAGCTCACGAATGCACGCAAACGTGAGGAAAATTGTGAAAACTGCTGTATCAACAGAGCGGAATAGCAAAGAGGCTGTCCTTACATAATTCCCTAATTAGAGGTAAACTCATCTGAATGCCATATGTGTCCTCTTCTCTGCAGGAGGGAAAGATCATGTTTGAATAAAGCTGACACCTCAAAGAACAAGGGGTTTTTACTGTGAAAACTGTGGACGTTTCTTTTTACTGCATCCATCGTGATATTATTTTCATGACAATTAAAATTCTCCCACATACCAAATGTGGCATGGTAACACTTAATAAGGTTCATTAGTTAATATTAGTTAATGTATTAACTAACATGAACTAACAATGAGCAATACAGTACAGTTGTTACAGTATTTATTAATCTTTGTTAATGTGAGTTCAGTGCATTAACTAATGTAAACAAATACAACCTTTGATTTTAATAAAGTATTAGTAAATGTTGAAATTAATATGAACTAAGATTAATAAATGCTGAAGAAGTATTTTTCATTCATATTAACTAAGGTAGTTAACTAATGAACCTTATTGTAAAGTGTTACCAGTGACATTATCATAAGGATAAATATAATTTCTCTACAATAATATATTATTATTATGGAACCATAGATTCCAATAAAGAACTTTTATTTTTTAATAGTCTAGGGTAATATAGTCCATTTACACCACGCTCTCTTGTCTTACTGTATCCTATCTTTTTAATTACTCCAAATAACCATGATCCGCACTCAAGTTGAGTTGAAGGCCTGTGAGCCTGTGAGCCTGTGAGCCTGTGAGCCGAAACGTATGTGTTATTTCTCTTCTATATGATAGGGAGGTGTGTATTTATAGCAGGAGGTGAGGTTGAATAGCCTACCTGTGCGTCATCGGGCTCCTCCATGCTGTACTGCGGCCCTTGAGACCCCTCGCTCACTTTTTCTCCGAGTAGGAAGCCAAGACGAGTCATCAACGTGTCTGCTGCCTCGTCCACTGAGGGAGGGGGGCCGAGTTCTGGACCTAACCCCCCTGAAGAAGAGAGAGAGAGAGAGAGAGAGAGAGAGAGAGAGAGAGAGAGAGAGAGAGAGAGAGAGAGAGAGAGAGAGAGAGAGAGAGAGAGAGAGAGAGAGAGAGAGAGAGAGAGAGAGAGAGAGAGAGAGAGAGAGAGAGAGAGAGAGAGAAAACAAAATCGAGTCAAGTGAAAAGTGAAACCAGCTCAACGGATCAGAAAAAGTTCATTACGAGCTTCATGTCTTCCACTATATCCTTATTAAGGATTCCGCATGAAAATTCAACAATTCAATAAGTGATTTCCCACAGATCTTAAATGACACCTCATCCTCAGAGTGACATCAATCTCCGCCTCGGTTCTGTAAGCGATATAAAAATCACCCTGCGGTCTTTCTTCAGTGCTGTAGAGAGACGAAGCTCCAGGACAAGACTGACAGAGACACAAACCACATCAACCAGCTCACACTATATAATCAGCTAACTGCTCAGAGAGAGAGAGAGAGAGAGAGAGAAACAGAGAGCTAGAAAAGGAACATCTGTCAAGGCAAAGTTAATCTGGCCTTGCTTGAAAGTTTAAAACAGTTGAAATAGCTTGAAGTGTGAAGATTATAATTCGAAGACTATTTAGGCCTTACTGAGAGACAGAGAGATAGATCGAGTGAATGACAGAAGGATAGACAGATAGATAGACAGACAGACAGAGAGATAAATAAATAAATAGATAAAGTGAATGACAGACCGATAGAACAATACATATATAGATAGAATGATAGATAGAACGAAAGAACAATAAAACGATAGATAGAATGATAGAACGATAGACTGAAAGAACAATAGATAGAACGATAGAAAAATAGATAAGATAGAACAATAGATAGATAGAACGATAGATAGATAGAACGATAGATAGATAAAAACGATAGATAGATAGAACAAAAGATAGATAGATATTATAGATAGATAGATAGATAGATAGATAGATAGATAGATAGAACGATAGATAGATAAAAACGATAGATAGATAGAACAAAAGATAGATAGATATTATAGATAGATAGATAGATAGATAGATAGATAGATAGATATAACGATAGATAGATAGAACGATAGATAGAACAAAAGATAGATAGATATTATAGATAGATAGATAGATAGATAGACATAACGATAGATAGATAGAACGATAGATAGAACGATAGATAGAACGATAGATAGATAGATAGATAGATAGATAGATAGATAGATAGATAGATAGATAGATAGATAGATAGATAGATAGATAGATAGATAGAGTGGTTTATTGTTTTTATAAAATGTGTGCCAAATACACAACAATGCAAACGCAATGTAAAAACAATGTAAATACAAAGTTACATCTGTTATTAATCATTTTTAAAATCATTATTTTAAGTAATGTAAAACATGCGATCAGGCGTGTTTATATTGATTTTACAACAGTTGCAAACGTGCCTCATCCCATCAGAATTCAAGAGTCAGAAATATCACTTTAATAATCACTTCTGATTCTGTGTTGTGTCCAATAAAAAATCCTGAAGCAAAACCAGTTGAGAACCACTGGCCAAAGCTAACATAATGAAAACAGAACGAGAAAGGAGTTTCTTAACCGTTCATTCAAAGACAAATCTGAGAAACTACAACTGACAGAGAGAGAGAAGAGGAAGGTGAGGATGAGAAAGAACGTAAATGAATTAAAAAACCAAAACACACCTGTTCCCTGGCATGCCATTCCTTCAACACATCACACATTAATCCTGCGTGTGGCGCGAACGCAAGAGTCAGTGAACACACAACCAGAGCGGGGTGTGTGTGTGTGTGTGTGTGTTCTTCGGTCATGGGGCGTGTTTATAATGAGTCTTCAGTGAAACATTCAGCTGTTGGACTGTCCTACCCCAGAAAACTATCTAGCATTGAATGAAGATCAGAAAATAAAGCTAATCACATGACAGTTGTCACACTCATCAGATCAGGAAAGATACGTTTAAAAACATTTCTCAGTTGGTAAATGAAATAAAAATAGACAGATATTCTACAACTACTGAAATACAGTAAGACGAGCTATAAAACGAATGATATCACAGATCACATCTGCTTTTGCAAGAATTTAATGAGAAACTTGTGAGTTGGCATTGATGGATCCATGAAGAACCTTTAAAGTGCTCCATTATGGTATTTTAAAGTTTCCTCATGTAGTTTTGGAGTCTCCTACAACAGGTTTACACGCATCAAAGGTCAAAATACTGTTTCATTTCTTCATAATATACATTTGCACATTTTCAATGATTCTCAAACGACTCGTCAGAAGAATCAATCTCTCTAAATCCCTCCTTCCCGCGAGCTACTAACTCTACTCTGATTGGCCAGATCCTCCATAGCAAGGACGACTCGAGCAGGACGTTGAGAATGATGTTGCAACTGTAATTCCTCACCATCAGCATTAACAAGTGCATGTCCATCAACAAAGCCATTATTTTACTTGTACTTATTTATTTACCGAGTATTTTCCTAATTAATTGCGGTGAACACGTGGAAACTGTCTCAATAACAGTGTACATTAGCGAGCTCTAGCGTGAATGACTGATGTAACAAACGTTGGTAAAACAAATCTTGCTCCATGCTTAATCTTTCCTCAAAGTAGTGAGAACGACAGATGATCTACATTAATAGACAGTTTTAGGTAATAGTGTCCCACAGCTGATCAGCATAAGTATTTCAGTAGGGCTGGGTAAAAAATATCGATTTCTCGATATTAATCGATTCTCATTTTTACGAACCGATATCGATTCTTAAATCTCAAGAATCGATTAGTCATCCTGCTTTCATTTGATGAATGAATGGAGTATTGTAGCGCGCATCCCATCCAATAAATCGCAATAACCTTTGTGCTTTGTTACTATTAATACTAAATAAAGTCTCAAATTACATCCATTTTCTTACGAAATTCAAAAACATAAATACCGTTTCGGCGCTGTGGCGTGAGATCGCTCTGGCTCAGCTCAGCTCAGGAGAAGCAGCAGCGCGAGCGCACATGATCTCCTCTTCCGCCTTAATAATACCAGTTACAGCGCGAAATAAACATGAATGAACGTCTGAAAGTGTGTTAAAACATAGAGTACAACTTATCGAAATCCGTATCATGTCACATGGAATCGCTCAATCAGTGTTTCAACCGTGGAAAGACGTCAGTAAAACAACTTGTAAACAATGTCATGTAACGTCACATTTACCTCAGAAAAACCATATGTGACCATAAACTCGTTAGTCAGCTAGAAAAATTAACTCTAAAGAGGAGCATTTTGCTAAATATATGCACCATATTACATATTCATTATAATTTTTTAATGTTCTTCGATATTTAATGCATGTTTGAATAAATCTGGCAAGTGTTTATGACTAGCCACCATTTAAATGTTTATATTTCATATAACTTTATTATTATAAAAATAAATAAAAGTGTAATTTAAGTGTTTGTATAGCTACAAAATTTACCTTCAATATTATAGTAGGCTAATGAAGCCTAGTAGGCTACAACTGACTCCCATAGTTTACAGCATTAGTTAAGAGATTTGTTTTCCTTGAGAAAATTTGCCATGTATTGTACTTGATATCCAAAATAATCAATATTGAATCGAAATCAAATCGAATTGCAAGATTGTGAATCGAAATCGAATCGAATTGTGAAATTTGTGTCAATACCCAGCCCTATATTTCAGTAAGACAGTGATAACTTGAGTTAGCCAATTAGCAGGAGACCTACACAATATCAAACTCAAAACTAAGTATTTTGAACACCATCTTTCGAGAGCAAGCGTTTTGCGAATCCTGCATTGAACTCGAGATTTGAGAAGCAGTCGTCAGTAAAATAGAGGGAACACCGCACAAGTTTAGGATTACACTGCTGTGATATCGTGGTAAAGATGAATTTTAACCACTGATTCTTCACATGCTCGTCCTTGGGCAGTGAAAGAAAACTGGCTTTCCCTTCACATTGTAGAGCACAGGGTCTTCTGGACATGATGCGGTCCAGTGTCCACAGGAATCAGCTGCCGTGTTTGAGGTTCAAGTTTTCCCTGGTGTCTCCGCGCGCAATATGCTAATGACTCTTACTTTTGAGGGACAATAACTTTATAGGCCTATACGGTGCACTTACAGATTTAAAACTTTGCAGGATGTTTTCTTTCACTTAGAACAATTTTACACACTATGAAAGGTCATTTTCATAAATCCATAATAGGGGCCCTTTAATATCCACAGAATCTTTCCATTCAAAAGGTTATTTTTAAATATTCTTTGCACTAAGAAAAAAAAGTTTTTTAAAAAAAAGATCTTCTATGGCATTGCTGTGAAAAATCCCTTTTGGAACCTTTATTTTTTAAGAGTTGTGATTGCAAACACTGGTATTTTCAGGCAAAACATTACTGAGGGAAAACTTTTGAGAAAAAGCTAAATTCTCCAGTTGTTTTTTTATTTAATCTCATCACAATCTAGTAGAAACAACTGCTATATTAAAGAGCTCTCATACTGTATGTCATGATAAAAATATAAATAGTTGAAATGCCACTGCTTTTACAAGTTCTACATCACTGAGAGACATCAGCGTGAGAGAGAAATTCCCAGTGCTGCACAACAACAACAACAGATAAACCAGACAGACGGCTTTACTCAATGAGCCCGGAGCAATAACGCATGAGCATGATCTCACCGAGCTGAAGAACTGACCGACAACATCAAACAGGCGTCTCAACTTGCCCCGCAGACACACCCTCCACAGCCCTGCCATATTAACACTCCAAAACATCAACATATCAGAGACACCTTCAGAGATCTACAAAAACACCAAACTGGAAAGAAACACTCTAAAAAACGCTGGGTTGTTTTAACCCAAATTTGGGTCAAATATGAACAAACCCAGCCATTGGGTAACATTTTTTTATTACATTTTTAACCCAATGTTTGAGTTTGTCCATATTTGACCCAAAATTGGGTTAAAACAACCCAGC